AAAGAGCGTCTAGATTGGCACAGATGCTTTTCCGCAAAAGCACTTTTTGCGGAAAAGCGTCCGTGCCAATCTAGATGCACTTTTCCACAAAAAAGCCCTGATCGCCATTTTCGCGATTGGGGCTTTTTTGCGCAAAGCAAATCTGAGCTGTCTACACTGGCCCTTTTGTGCAAAAGCTTTGCGCAAAAGGGACTTTTGCCTGAATGAGAGCAGAATAGTATTTCCGCAAGAAGCACTGATTTCTTACAGTAGGAAGTCAGTGCTTTTGCAGAAATTCAAGCAGCCAGTGTAGACAGCTGGCAAGTTTTTCCGGAAAAGCAGCTGATTTTCCAGAAAAACTGGCCAGTCTAGACACAGCTTTCTTGCACAAGAAGCCTGCAGTGTAGATGTAGCCAGTGATTGCTGCTCTTGGCTCAAAGCACAATCCAGCCACAAGAAGTTCCAGCATTCACTGCAGTAAATTTAACTATTCAAACAGACTCCTTATGGATCCTATCTTTAGCTCTGTCAATGAAGCAGTCTTGCACCTCACATCTTAAAGGCCTATAGCCTGCTAACTCATTGCCTTACCCTACCCAGCTTAACCTCCCAGGCCTCCGGAAGTGGAGCCTCTGTCCATCCAAGTTTCTTTCCACTGACAGAGTCTCTCTCTCCTTTGTGCCAGGTTAAGTACTGACTCTCTTCTTTTGTATTCCCACAAAATTACAGATATTGCCATTTGTATTAACACACTTTGTGACCAAACACCAGCCAAGTTGATTACAATGAGCAAAATTCCACTCCCTCTGCTGAATAGCTAACAGAGCTGAGGAAAGCAGGGGCAAAATGTATTTACATAGACACACCCAGGGTTTCTCTCCCCTTCCCACAAGCTGAAATGGAAGCGTTCTTTCATCCCCTGCTTACACAGGTATTTGTCATTAGGTTATTTGACCCTTGTCCGCATTCATCTGGAACAAGATCTCTCTTGTTATTTTTGATTAATTATTTTAGGCCATTTTTAAAAGCCTAGAATCCCCATGTGACGATGGGCTTTCTGCCCGGTATGTTTAAAGTCTCCCACACTGCTTTGATCCCCCCTCTCCCCCTCATTTAGGCCCTGAATTCAGCAAAGCACATGATAATTTTTGGGTCACTGGAATGTAAGCACCTGCTTAACTTTAAAAGTGGGCTTCTGTGCCTTGCCAGCTCGGCGCCTTAGACAGCGCCAGCGTGGCATCGGCGTTGCTTGGATGTTGTGGACTGGTAAAACGTGTCTCTATTCTGCACTCTTCTGAGTGCTTGGCCTCTTATTCCAGTGGCCAGGTGCCCATATCACAGCGCTGGGCAGTCCCAGGGAGAGCCCCGCGACGGCACAAGGGAGCTACTCTCTCATCTTCCCTGGGCTCCCTTCCGGTCACGCTGGTGGCACATCTGCCAGGAGCCCGGGGAGGCCTGCGTGGCTGCCACCCCCGCTGGAGGTGTGTGCTGCACCTCAGGCCGACGGCACGGCGTCCGGACCGTGCAGCAGCTCCCCCCCAAAGCCCTGCTGGAGCGCTCCCCTCAGCTCCTCCTCCTCGCTGCCAGAGGCAGCAGTGTCAGGAGAGGCCTCTTCCCCAGCGCTTCCCTGCTGCAGCCAGGCCGGGCGGGAGGCTGGCACGGCCCGTCTGCCCCTGCGGGAGGTGAGGGGGTGTCGGGGGAGGGACGGGGTTCTCCTTTCTCCTCCCCCGCCCCCTATGCCCCCACTTCCTCCAGTTTCCCCTCTGCCCCAGCTGCCCGCCCCACTGATGCCCTGGCTATGGGTGCAGGGCTGCAGCTGCCAGGCCCCAGCCAATAGCTCACGTGCAGCAGAATCAGGCCCCTCTCCGCTGTCAGTCCAGGCCCTGGGCTCATCAACCGTGCTTACCCCGCAGGCCCGGCTGGGAGCGTGGGCCCTTGGGCAGCCTGTGGGCCTTCCGCGTTCTCACCCGACCGGCCGGTTAATCTCAACAAGACTCACCTAGCATCAGAGAAAGAGGTTCGTAAAACAGTCTGTACACCTGCTTTAGCAGCTTCCCACCCTCCTCCGCCATGGCGAGCCTCAGGCAGCTTACCATCTTCAGACCTCCAGCGGGCGCGTGTCCCTGAAGAGCCCCCAGACACCCTGGAGAGGATCTCTCCTTTCTCCAGCCAGCACTCCTTGCTGTCAGTCTTCCAGCTGTGTTTGCCTTGCTGCCCAAAACCAGGCCCTGAGCTCAGCAGGGGGCCAGGGGCAGAGTTTGGTAGATGGATGGCGTCTGAAGCCATCATAGAGACAAGGTGGGTAAGATAATATTGATATTGGACAAACTTCTGTTGGAGAGAGAGACAAGTTTACACAGAATTCCTCTTCAGGTCTTACTGAGCCATTGTAGGCAAGAAAGCGTGCTTGAAGACAGGCACTTCCGGAATAAACCCTCTTGACTCGGCTATCATGTACTCGTTAACAGTAACTTTGAAGGATTCTCTTCTTGATCCTCCCATACAGGCGTTAATGAAATAAGGCTAAGATTTTCAGAAAAGCCTGTGTGGAGGAAGAATCTCTTAAAATTTGCACCTGAGTCTACTGGGATAAATAGGAATTACACAAAAAATTCCTTACTTATGTAGCTAGCAACTTTAATTATTAAAAGTTAAATAATTTTAAAATTTAATTTGGTTTTAATTGCTTATGTTTCTTTTCCTGGTTTTTCTCAGCTTGAAGAATTAAACAAGACCCATCACAGCGCTATTGTGTGTAGGTTTCCAGTAGTACAGAAATATATTTAAATTAAAAAAAAAATCTGTTTTCCTAATTAATATAGTTTCTTTTAAATTGACATGAGTAACTCCTCCTCTGTGTGGTCCAATTAAGTTCAATGGTACTGCTCACATTAGTGAAGTATTTCCAGGACTGGGATTATTTAGTTTGTGCTTAGTGAATATTGAAAAGTTTACTGGAGTGGAACTTGCCTCTAAAAATAAAAAAGTAAAAAATATGTATGATTCTTATTGTAGGTTTTGTGAAAGGAAGGACTGCTGAAATATACATTTACCCCTGGAACCTCCACTGAACATATACTCCATCAGATAAAACCATGGTGAGTACACTTTAAAATACACCGTAGGTCAATGGACGTTCAACTGTATTTGTTTAAATATAGATTTGTGTGAATTAAAAATTGTTTTGCCCTTTTACTTATATAACACTCCTTGCTGTTTGTCCTGTGAGTAGTTTTGAGTTTGTTTGATTATATACTTATTATATACCACAATTATGAAGTTATTGCACAGAGCCATTGTACACCTTGGGAATGATTTATAAATTCAGTTATTTTTTTAGTTGTGAATGGTTACCATTAATTTCACGATGGCAGACTTGGCTGAATGGTTTCACCCAATCCATGCATGTTCGAAAACACAATCATATTTCCCATTTCATTCAGATACCCTCCACATTAAACTTGCTCAGGCCATGGTAGGATACACGTGCAAGTTGTATGTTGTGTTTATATTTATTAACTTACTTGATGAATTGCACAATATCCACAAATTACCTTCCATCTCTTACAGCTGAACAAAGAAACGTTTCAAACAAATCATTTATTTGAAAAGTTTCTCGAGTTTCATCAAGCTAATTATTCTAATATTTAAAACTTAATAGATGGGATTGAGAACAGCTCCCTCTAATTGTTGCTAAAATCATCCTGTTTTTCTTATGTATCTTAAGATAATTCTAACCCTTTTGCAGAGTGAGAACGTTTGTGATGACGTGTACAACAATGTCAGCTCGGTTGCCATGGATCTCTCTAATTTAGTGACTTGGGCACATACTCATGGCACTATCTGCAGCCAGATCCCAGGCTTGGAGATTATACAGAATATGGGACATCCCACCAGGGACAACTCTGTTTTGTGGATATGTGAGTCTGGGCATGCATATCACTGGCCGTGTGGGGCGTTATATTTCAGAAGCCAGGAGGAAAGGGAGGAAGCTGTAGAACAAAGAAAGAGGTCCAGAAGCTATGACTCCTGGTCAATGGAACATAATGTAAGTGAAAAGAGATACAGGGTAGTCTCCCCTTTTGAACAAAAGAAAGCTGATTCTATTAACATGGGCTCGAGTAGCAGATCCCCCGAAGTAATGCAGAGGAAAGAGGATGCATTCTGTGTAATGTCTGATACAACAGTGCCAAAAGCAAAGCAAAGTGAAGCACTTCCTCAGAAAGACAACTTCTCTACGAGGCCATGCTTTGCAGCAGAGCTGAGTCTCCCATCAAATGAGTGTCATGTCAAAACCGACCCAGATAATGATGAGCCAGAAAGCAGAGAGGACCGGCAAGAGATCTCAGATGAAGAAGAATTTGAAGCTGGAGACCCAATATACAGAAGTAATTGTGATTCTGAAAGAGTAGTCCAAAATAAAGAAACGTCTGCTGAGGAAGAACTGCAAATTCATGGAGATGGTAAGGTCAGTAGCAAGGAAGCAACCATCCAGACGACAGTTTCTGTTTTTAAAGAAAAGGCTGCAGTAATTCCATGTTTACAAGGGGAGACTTTAGAGGACAGCGCTTATAGGATTCTGGAACACAACTGCTTGAAGTTAACTGCTCTTCATCCCACAAAGGCCAAGAGCAAAACCTCTAAAGCAAGAGATTCCTATGAATCAACAGTGTCCAAAGAAAAGTTAAAGCCATTTCCTGTCTCCAGTGTGGAAACAAAGGCCCAGTTTGAGCCATCCACATTCATGGTTTTCTATGACACTGCACCCACTGGAGCTGTTCATCAACAGCTCCAGCTGTGCCCATCAACATGTGCCACATCAGGAACCGGAGTAGCTGGGAACTATGCTGAAATACCTCCTGAGAAGAGCAAACAGCCGGGACCACTGAATGCTGCAAATTCTTCAGCCCTGCCTACTCTGGAGAATGAAAACTCAGAGGACAATCTGCCTGTATCTTCAAACAAAAGTAAGATTTCTGGAGTTTTATTCCTGGGTGGGCTTTTTAGTATATGTCTCTTTTAGCCAGAATATGACTATTTGGGTGGCTCCGTTTAGCCACCTAAATCCATATCTGAGCACCTGAATAAAAGTAAAAACAACAAGGAGTCCAGTTGCACTTTAAAGACTAACAGGTTTCTAGGGTGCTAGAAGATTTATGTGGTGTTGCTTGGGTCCTTAACTCAATTAAGTTTTGTTTTTCTTCGTTTAAATCATCTTTCTGGGGTAGGGCTGAGGATGAGGGGTTCAGTGTGCAGGCTGCCTCCTGGAGAGAGGACAACCTCAGCCCTCTCTCCCTGCAGCAGCTTGGGGCCAGGTGAGAAGAAAGAAACAGAAACAATCTTTCTTAGCAAATATTGGGAACCATTAATGAATGAATCTGCTTCGTTTTAGAAGTAAACAGCACAATTGTGATTTTAGCATAGGTATGGCTGTAATGGATTCTTAGTGCCAATTGCACACCTTGGCTGTGTCTAGACTGGCAAGTTTTGCAGAAAAACTTGCCAGCTGTCTACACTGGCCACTTAAATTTCCGCAAGAACACTGACGATCTCATGTAAGAAATCAGTGCTTTTTGCAGAAATACTACGCTGCTCCCGTTCGGGCAAAAGTCCTTTTGCGCAAAAGGGCCAGTGTAGACAGCTCAGATTTGTTTTGCGCAAAAAAGCCCCGATCGCGAAAATGGCGGTTGGGGCTTTTTGCGCAAAAGCGCATCTAGATTGGCCACGGATGCTTTTGTGCAAAAGTGCTTTTGCGGAAAAGCGTCCGTGCCAATCTAGACGCTCTGTTCCAAAAATGCTTTTAACGGAAAACTTTTCCGTTAAAAGCATTTCCGGAAAATCATGCCAGTCTAGACGTAGCCATACTAATTTAATTTAGTGATTAAAAATATTGAATAATCAGCCAAGATTTTAGAGATCATTCTGTAGAGCGAATAACTTTGCACCTGATATGTATTGTTTGTAAACGGTGCTTCTCATAAATATCAGGCAGTTGGACATCTGCCTGATATATATGCAAATTATTTTTATGCGTGCAAAAATTCAGGTGCAAATATAGAGCCAGCCAACTTTTGAAAGTTCAAGCAAATAGTCTCAAAACTAGGCGTTGTAGGTTTAATTTTTCACTGTTTGAGCTATTGATTCTTTCTATTTGACTAACGGCCATCAAGAGCAATATGAAAATTCAGAGTTGTGCTTACTAAATGTATATTTAGTAAGATGTCCCTAGTCTCTGTTTATCAGAAGCTGGGAATGGGTGATGGGAGGGATTAATTGAGGATTCCCTGCTCTGTTCATTCACTCAGGGGCACCTGGCATTGGCCACTGTCGGCAGACAGGACACTGGGCTAGATGGACCTTTGGTCTGACCCGGTCTGGCCGTTCTGATTTCTTATATTTAGATTTTGTGGCAAAGCCAGTACATTAAAGACAGAGAAAACCTGCTGTAAGAGTCTATGATGCAGAAGGTTAGATATAATTCTCCCTTGATTGTGCAGAGTACAAGAATGATGTTTTGAGGCTTGTCTACACTTGAATGTGAATTTGGATTAAGATAGGATGTTTGTTTAGACAAGCCCTTACAAACTAAGTATATCTCATCAACAGCCACTGTGCAATCACCTGGGGGCATTTATGCAATAGTTGTTTTTGCTGAACAATGAGTTATAATCCATTTTATCTTAATCTCAAGATAAGTCTACACTGCCACTTTCCTGCGCTGCAACTTTCTGGCGCAGAGTGTGAAAAACACACCTCACCCCCAAGTGCAGCAGGTTACAGCGCTGTGACATGCCAATGCGGGCAGGCTCTCAGCAGAGCGGGCTACTCCCCCGGTGGAGGTTGTTTACATACTGCGCCGGAAGACTCAGACAAAGCCTCAGCCTTAGCTTGCAGACTCAGTGTGCAATGATTTACGCCTTTTATTTCCTCAAATAGACCCCTCAATAGTTTTCCACAAAAGGAAGCAGCAATATTTAGATTTGTAAAATCCACACCCTCTGTGCAGATAAAAGAGTCATTAAACCAAAATAATGTACCGAATGACTCAATGCCAACAAGCAGCATTCACAGCCATCAGCTCCAGAACCTCCTCAGCACCAACCTAGTCACACCTGGGAAAAAATCCACAAGAGGGCACATGGACCTTTGCAGCATAACCTGGTGGCAGTCATGCAATCCTTACTCACGTCACTCCTTCTATAAGGAAGAGCTGCAGATTGTCACCTGGTCCTTAAGTATCAGTTTTTAGATCATACAGGGTCAAATTCAAGGCCTTCCTAACACACACATGAAAGTTCTGTCTTAAGGTCCCATTTAGAGTGGCACGTAATTTAAATGTCTCTGCACAGGGACAAAATTCATAATTTCAAAAAGTGGTGTAAAATGTCTTTAAGGCCTCAGGCTGCTTCCCTTGAATTGCGAGTTTTTAAATATTTGATATATTAGAACCTAGGCATGCCAATCAAAGATCAGGCCCTCGCTGTACTAGGCACAGTACAGAAAAACAACAAAGATGACAGATCCCTGCACCAGAGAACTTACTGTTGGCAACAGGTGGTCCAAACTGTGGGATGGGTGGGAGGGAGGATGCCATAACAAAACCAAAACAAAATCTTAAAGGAGCATGATCATAACAGATCCAGAATGTTTGAATGCTTTAGAACGGAAGCGAACACAGCTCTGCTTCACCATACATACTTTTGATAGCCTCTGTAGTTGTTTCTATCCACCGAGTTGTCTCTTATCTTTTAGAGACATTGAAGAAGTCGGAGAGTAAGAGAATTCGTAATATTGGTGATATAAAAATGTTCAGAGACTGGTTGGCTTCTCATTATCCTTCTGAAACGCGTGAGATCTTCACACTGCCTCCTGCAGACCTTGATAATTACCTAGCCTCCTTCTACACTAGAGTCAGGAAGCAGAATGGTACAGAGTTTTCCGCCAACTCTTTATTCTTCTTTCAGAGCAGTATAGACAGATACCTCAAGGAGCACAAGTACGAGTATAGTGTGAGTAAAGGGCCTGAGTTCACAGCATCTCAGGAAGCATTAAAGGCAAAGTGCCAGCATCTAGCACGGAAGGAGAGGGAGAGAGATTGGAATATTTTGGAAAACCTGACAGATAGAGATGTAGAGAATCTTCGTAAAAAGGGCATACTGAGTCGAATGCATCCCGAAGGATTTCTACACCTAATGCTCGTGAACATCATCCGAGGTTTTGGGGCAAACACGCACAGTCAGACTCCAAACCTGTGGTGGGGGCAAATTGTGTTAAAAAAGAATGTGCAAGGATTAGAGTACTTGGAGTGGAAAGATGATCTGAACACACAGGCAAGCACAGAGGAGTCAGTTCTATATATTTATGCTAAGCCTGATAATCCAGGCAACTGTCCAGTCAGAGATTATAAGGAGTATGCTAAGAGACGGCCACTGGATATGCATCATGACCGTGATCCATTTTACTTGTCTCCTAAACCTTTGTGCTGCATATGGGACCAAATATGGTACTGTAGAAAAGCACTGACAAAAACCAAAATGGAGAAAATGATGAAAGTCATTGTCCAGCAGGTCAAAGGATCTGAAAAAAGGTCCATGAAATAAGAGTTATCAGTTTGATCTCTGCTGTGTCTGTTTTGATAGAAGTATGTTTTCAGTCAGTTTGGGAGTTGTTTAAAATGGCTGCAGTTAATATGGGCTGAGGGAGAACACCTCTCCTCAGCAGATTACCCCAAAAGCTTAAAAAGCTGTGTTGTTAAATTGACCACCACCTTCCCATCATTAGAAAAACCAAGGGTAGAATTCGTTCTTACATTCTATTTACTGAATAAAATCTTAAATCCTGGATTTAAACCATTATCAATGTTCTACTGAATTAGCTCAGTAATGTTAGTGTAGAAAGGACTTGTGTTTTAATACCCTGGCTAAGTACCTGTATGTTCATGAGGGGAGGGGAGGAATTGATCCTGTTGTAAACCAAACTTGTCTAATGTGGAATTTAGCTGTCTCTTTTTACAATAAAAATATAAACAGGTGGAGCTGGCTTTGGGAAGGAAGAATGATGAAAGATTACCAGTAGTTGCCAGCTACTAATCTATAGCTAATCAGAATGGTTTAATGTGTTTAGATCAATTCTTATTTTTCTAAATGAGGAAGGAATTCTTTCATTTAAGAAGTTCGGGTTGAGTTTTAGTAAATTACCAACCCCCCAAATGCAGTCAATAACATGGAAAAGTTTTATGCAATAACCTTAGTCTGTAGAGGGCTAGAGTCAGTAGTCAAATTCTGTAATTCAGTTCAAATGTTCAAATGTTATTTAACAGATGTATTTTCCTAATGTTCAGTTATAACTGTTGGCATGTCATAATAAACAAAATTTTACTTCATTATGGTCAGTCTTTTCCAAGAAGATGAAACTATGAACTCAGAACAGGTATTGCTTCATTTCTGTTATTCAAATCATTGTTTTTAATAGCACAATCAGATATTGACTTTCTTCAACTGACTAATGATTATTTGTACTGTGAAGCTGATCCTGCTAAGAAATCTAGCCATATGAAGTCCATCTGATTCCACGCAGGCATAAGGTGGGTGGATCCCATTGTAGGATCCAGCCTTGTAGATAGCATTTTTTAATTCAGGGGTGGGGAAAACTAGCAGCCTCCAACCCAAAAAAAGGTTCCCAGCTCTGTTTTAATCCATAGATCTCAAAATAGTTTACAAAGCCGAGTAAATTTTTTTCTTCCTGTTGTACAGACACTGACAGAGAGGACTGAACTAACTTGCCCAAGGTTATATAACTAATCAGTGTCAGAGCTAGGATAACCCTCTTTTCTGACTTTCCTATGCTACAGGACTCATTACCGCATTAGGATAGGATTTCTATCCAAGTGCAAGAAGATGGACATCGTACCCAAAGGACTGAAAGTGAACAATCCATTAAGATCAACATACTGCACTGACTACCGTGAAAGACTCTGCCTCACACTACCGCATTAGCTCTGAGTCTTTGAAAAAGAGTGGAGGGCATTTTTAGTATTTCATCAACATACATTCTTATGTACATAGGTAAAGGTGAATACTCAGACTGTGCAGCTCAATAGCCAGGCACGGATTTTTTAGAGAAGTGATTTTATACTCTTCAGCAACAAACAAATGAAATATTGAAAGCAAACATTTAATATATGTAAGTCCTGTAGACACATAGCGCACAACTCCTTTTGTCCATAAATAGACTTGGCACATACCTGTGAAATGGTTTCATTACCACTTAGTGGCTCTTTCACAGGTTCAATGTTCTGCTAATGGGTCTGGCAAGCAGGAAGGCTTTTCACTTTTAAAAAACAACCAATAGTCTGGTAGGTAGCACCTTAAAGACTAACAAAACCTGTCCATGGGATCATGAGCTTTCATGGGTGTGACATAGTGGGTGCTGTCTACTTTGTAACTCAGTGTTCCTGTGGGCTGTATGGTGTGATGTGTGATTCCCAATGACTCAGAGTCCCCGCCTGAGCAGATAAGAACCTTGTTCCCAGAAAGAGAGACAAAAGAAGATAGGCAAGGACTGTCCCCAGGCTGGGGGGGGGTAGGGCCCGGGAGTTGGGTTAGTGTCCATTGGGTGAGATGATTACTATTTGATCTGAGGAAGTGGGTCTGGCCCACGAAAGCTCATCATCTAATAAACCATCTTGTTAGTCTTTAAAGTGCTACATTGTCCTGCATTTTGCTTCATTGGGTGAGAGGGAGGATCGGGTGTGCGTAGACTACAGCCCTTTTTCGGTAAAGGGATGTAAATTAGGCATGTCAATATTGCAAATGAAGTGGGGATTTGAATTTCCCGTGCTTCATTTGCCTAATGGCGGACGCCACTTTCTTTCAAAATGTGGCTTTTCGAAAAAACCTAAAAAAAGGCAGCTTAGATGGCACATTTTCGACAGAAATGCCCTGTTTCAAAAGATCCTGTACTCATTTTTTGAGAAGTACAGGATCTTTCGAAATGGGGCATTTCTGTCGAAAATGCCCCGTCTAAACTGCCTTTTTTTTTCCGAAAAGCCCTGTTTCGAAAAAAAGCAGCGGCCGCCATTATACAAACGAAGCGCGGGATATTTAAATCCCCACTTCATTTGCACTTTCGATACGTCTAATTCGATACGTCTCTGCCGACAGACGGGTGTAGTTTAGACGTCGCCGATGTTTCGCACCAAGGAAGGGGGTGAAGCTCCTTCCCCCGAGAGGACCAAGGCTCTGCCCTGGCTCTCGTGCTAACATCTCTCCGATGCTGCGCTGTGTCTCTGAGAAGCAAGAAAACCCTTCTACTCTACTGGCCGGCTGAGAGTCACAGCAGGCTGCGGATGAGGGTGCAGGGTCTGGGGCTCCCCGACGCGCCATCACACTGGACACAACCCACTTCTTCAGATGACTGCAGTGTTGGAAGTCCAGATCCAATAAATAAGGGAAGAGGGGGAGGAGGGAGAAGGGAAAAAATGGAGGGGAGGAAGAAAAAAGAGACCGTGAGCGGAGAAGCTTCAGGGGGATAGCAGAGTTAGTCTGTGCTTGGATCTGGACTTCGCCTGAAGAAGCAGGCTCATGAACGAAAGCTCAGGATCCCATCAACAGGTTTTGTTCGTCTTTAAGATGCTACCAGACTATTTGTTGATTTTTAAGTTTTTCCGGTTACAGACCAACTCGGCTCCCCTCTGAAGCTTTTTCACGTTTAAGTTAAATTCACCGGGGGAGGGGCAAGGGAGGGAAAGTCACTAATCTGCAACAGCCTGCTGTGGGAGCCAGCAGGAAGGGTCAGACTAGGGAAAGGTTGAACACTGGGACCCAGGGAAGGTATTGCAGCCCCTTGCCTCTCCCCGCTGACCATAGGGTGCCTCCCTGGTGCCACTTTTAAGACCTGAGCAGCAGAAGAGGAAGTGTGAGAAGGAAACGTTTGCTGTTACGCAATGTCACCAGCCGCATGAGTCGGTTCTTCCCTGTCACATTTCTGCCTGAAATTAGAGCTGGGGGAGCCGAGGTTGACGGCGCTGGCTCAGACAAGGCTTGGTGCAAGCAGATGGTCTGCTGCCTGCCCTGTTCTTTTCTACCATTGGCTCCCGTCCAGTGCCTAACTAGAGACAGCATCGTGGTGCATGATGGATTGGAGGGAATGACGCCACACTGATTGAATGAGAACGGCACGCTCATTGCGCTTGTGATGTACCGTAACACGAGGCTAAGTCAATGTTCAGAAAGGACATTGGCTCTGAGAGGGTATTAGGCCCACTGGCGTCCGTGGGAGCGGATGCCCCAAATACTTTTGAGGATCTGAGCGCTAAGAGCCTAAATCTTATTGAAAGCCAATGGGATTTGGGCTCCTCAATCACACAGGTGCTTTGGAAAATGTCACCTCTAGTCAGAATTGGGACATAGATCTCCAGGGTGACACGCCGGTGCTTCAGTGCGCGTTCTTTGAATTCTCCCTTCCCCAAAGAGACGTTAGGTGGCAGCTCCACAGCCCCCGTCTCGTTCTCTGGGCCTCGTGTAGCACTTGCTCCAGTGGCTCACAGGCCTGTCATTTGCCCCCTGCACTCTTTGGGCTCTTGCCCTTCCAATCCTTCCTGCAAATCCTGCTTTTGCTGGTGCTCTGGAGCCCCCTGGTGGCACGCCGCTCGCACGGCCTGGCCACCGGATGGGATCCTGGAAGCTGTTGCATTAACACGCAAAGCCTCCTGAGATTTGCTTGTGTTTTCCCATTCCTCTGAGTGGGACAGCACCTCAGCTGCCCCGGGCACAAGCAGCAAACTGATTTCTGTCTTAAGGCTCTTTCCCATATTGTTCCCTCCTCTCCCCCATTCTCCCTAAACACGTGCACACTTTCAAATCCCCAGCACAGCAACCCCAGAACGTCTCTGCAGACAAGACAGGCTGGAAAGAATGAGGGGGATATGACTCTTTAATAAATTATTAGCAAAATAAACAACAGCTTTAAAAATATCTATATATTATATTCCACTGCATCTCCGCAGATCATACTGGCTGACGTCTAGATCCTCTAATTTCCATTTCAATGCTTGTGACGATCCAAAGACATCTCTCTTTCTAGATAGGTTCTAATGGCATTGGAGATAAGTCCCTAAGACATCTTGAAATCACTCCTTTTGCCAGCTACAAGGACACAGCTTGGAGTTAGATTATCATCCGCATTTCATTTAATTTCATTTCATCTAGCCATCTACAAGCAGAGGGGACCTAAATAAAATGATCCATTTTTCCACCTTAACAATATTCCTTTGGTTCATGGAAATGGAGGTAGGTGCACGAGCTATGCTTTTTAAACAGCTGCTTTTTTAAGATTTAAACACCTGCAATTTTCAAAAGTCCATGAGTCTTACAATCATCAAGCGGCGAAACGACTGGCTGAGTTGAACTCGGCGAAGATTGAATCCAAAGCAGAGTAAATGTAGATACAAAGCAATGCCTGGAAGGCCACTGGTTGTTCCTCGGCTGCTAGAGTTCCTCAGGCATCGTCGTTATTGAAGAACCGTCCCGACTCCCAGCGTTCGGCCATAGCACTCTTGTGGCGGGTCACTCGGGTGCTTTCTAAAATCTAAACCCATTAAACACAGAATGATAGTCTCACTTCCTCAGCACTTCTTCTTTATTTTATGACTGTTTTGTTCGTTGGCCTTCCCTACCTCCCACCACCTCTCTGATCCCCAAATCTTAGGCCTGACATTTTCAGCAGCGGTCACTGATCTGAATGATCTGAAGTTTTGCATGCCCAGTTTGACACACCTCTGGAAAATATGGCTGGTGAGGTGACAAGTTCGGCACCCAAAATTGGGGCCCGCTTTTCAAAATCTAGGGCTGATCCTGACGCCAGGCCCTTATGGGGGAAGGCTGTGATAAGATAGCCTGGCCTGCTTCCACTGACATCAAAACAGTGGGGGTATGTCTACACTAGCCCCCTAGTTCGAAATAGGGAGGCTAATGAGGGCGAACGAAATTGCTAATGAAGCGCGGGATTTAAATATCCCACGCTTGATTAGCATATTCCCTGCCGGTCGCCATTTTGGAAACTGACTAGCCTGAAGGAACTGCCTGCGTCTACACGCAGCAGAGAAGCGCAATTCCAAGATAAACCCCTGAGTTTGAATTAAGGGGTTTAATTGTTAATTCCATGAGGTTTAACTGTTAATTCGAACTAAGGGGTTTATCTTGGAATCACACTTCTCTGCTGTGTGTAGACGCAGGCAGTTACTTCGGGCTAGTCAGTTTCCAAAATGGCGACCGGCCGGGAATATGCTAATCAAGCATGGGATATTTAAATCCCGTGCTTCATTAGCAATTTCGGTCGCCCTCATTAGCCTCCCTAGTTCGAACTAGGGAGCTAGTGTAGACGTACCCTGGGAGTGTTGCTGTTGAACTAGGCGCATCTGTGAGATTGTCCAGCTTGTTACACATTTCTGCATCCATAAGGCCTATTTGTAATAGTTCTCCACCCTGCTATTATTAACTGTTAGGCTAGGTCTACACTGCAAAGATAAATTGGAAAAAGAAATGTGATTTGCGGTACACTAATTGCATATCTTGGCTTTTCTGAAATTTGATGCATCTACACGGAGCCAAATTTCAGAAAAAAGGCCTCTTTCGACACATCCCTTCTTCCTCGTAAAATGAGGTTCACAGGGGTGGCAAAAGAGCGCATCCGCTTTTTTGAAAAATTTTCCAGTAAAGCGAACGC